GCAGCAAAAACTCTTGTACTTTCCCACGTCAACTGCTAGGAATTGACTTGCCATGAAGGCGACCAATTACTAATTTACAAAGTTGTTTCCTCAAATCCTATTTCGTTTTGCTGTGCCAAATGCCAATGGATTACAATCCGTGATAAAATTTCAAAGAAAAAATTTCCGTGTTCACTTAAGACAGTCTTGTTATGTGATGTTGTATGCACTTCGCCAGTTCGAGATTCAAATTTCCTCCTTATTAACACCACAGAGATTATTTAAAAGTAATTTTCTGTTCGAACATCGCCTAACGATATTGTGTGGTAATTAACCATCTTTAAATGCCTAACGGCATAGTTTTGATTGGAAAATAAGCGTGAAAGCGATTAAAAACCTTTGAGTTAGCAGTAGAATTTATTTTGGTGATTAAAATTAATATGGTTTCCGGGCCAACGTTCCGTCCATTTAATTAAAGACACAAATTAGTTTGATAAAAAATTGCGGGCTTATATTAACTGCAGCCATGGTTCTCTCCCGTAAGGCTGATCAAACAACGCAAGTAAAGCTCGTCGGTGACAGCCTGGTCAAATAAGTTGGCCTACGTGTCGGAAAACACGCCGTTGTTTCGGGCGTCAACAGCACTGCAACAACAGAAACGTTGTTTTTGTGGCTTAAAACCGTGTTGCACAAGTTGTCGTTGCATGTCAATGAAATTCGACGCGAAAGGAAAGAGTCCAAAAAAATCCCCACAAGTAAGGAACTTGGAAACATAGATAAAGACCTTCCCTGAAACGCTACCATAGTTGGACAAACGAGAATATTGTGGATAAACATTTAGCAGTCAAGAAAGTAATCAACGATGCCCTTATCTCGACTAACAAGCATCAATTTATCTTCGCCTAGGATGCTCATAGCCATGGTGGTTGTGTTCGTGGTGTGCTGGATTCCACTGAACGCGCTGTCAATATACAGCGACACCAAGCCCAACGACCCAGAATTTGCGATACCCTATTTTAACGCGATCTTCGTGACCTGCCACATCATTGCGATGAGCTCGGCTGTCTATAATCCCTTGCTTTACGCCTGGCTTAGCGAAACCTTTCGGCGCAACTTGAAAACCCTCGTGCCACAATGGCGAATGAAATCGTCCGCTGTTGGTGCTCTCGGTGCTGCTACTGCTATTGATGCTGCAGCAGGACCGGTGCTGAGAGCTACAGGTGCAAATGGTAACGACTTTGCACGCAAAAACATAGAGTCACAAACATGCTCCGGTGGGGGTGGATTGGAAGGTCTTCCATTCACGCAGTTACAGGAGACAGATCAATTTAACTCAGCGGCGCAAAATGTTCTCAGAGAGAGTGAACAGTGATGTTCTTTTTGTATCGTTGCGAAAACTTGATTTAATCAAAGTTGTCTGCTGTATTGACGTTTTATAACATCTCCAATTAGTGGGATACCCTTGAGCAGACCGTTGAAACCCGCAAGAATGGAGACTGGTTGATGGGATTTAATAAAGTCACATTTTTTGTGAGACAATTTTCCAAAAAGAGCAGTTGGTAGAGGCTTGGGCTTTTCAGCATGTTTTTAAAACTTTCTCATACTTCACCCAAGGTTTTCCCCGATAATCCTCCAAATCCTTGTCACAAAACTGTAGGTTTTTTAAGTAGAATGGTCTTTTAACAGACCTTACAAGGCGATGTGTAACTCTACATATCTTGTATTCGTTTAATCAGATAAGACATGAAGCACTGCCAAACAGTAGCGCCATTTCTGTCACCAAACAGCTTTCTTTGCATTTAAAGACCTAGAATCAATTCAAAATCTGGAAGAATTTGCATTTAAATAGCTTTTTATCTCAAGAACTGCTTTGCTCTCCGAACACTAGCTTTTCGCCTCTTTAGATTCGTTCATTAATTTGAGATAAAATCGCAATAAAAGTGATGGTACGGGAATAATTAGAGTTTATCCAAACTCTGGAATGATAGGCAGAACTGCTTAAGCCGATTTAACAAAACAATACACAAGCACCGGCAGTTTCTGTTAACTTTAATTAAAAGAAGGGGTCTTGGCTTTCAAGAACGACTCTCCTGACCACTAGGTCCTCAGCATCATATATACTTTAATTAATTATTCGCCATTATTCCTCTTAATGAAAGGCGGACGCGTAGAAAACCGGTGGAACCTTCCAAACAGATGCAACTTAAAGGCCATAAAATGGCTGTTTTAAGAAAAAAGCTCAAATCAGTGCTAAAATATGCTTAAGAGTCAACAATTTAAGACAAAATCTTACCATATAAAATTTTGGTCCTCATTAAGCAGAAAATAATTCGAAATGCAGTAATGGGAACCAGAAACGAAGGCAACCAGTGATTGGGTTGTCTGCATTGTTGAAAGAAGCAGTGAACAACAGCATTTGTGGCCCATCAAGTAAATTACAGTTGCGACTTAGGAACGGTTGGTCTGAAGAACAATTGCAGTTTGTGAACTGATTTTCAAATCAGATTCTCGTTTTCCTAGTCTTTAAATGAATAGCCTCTTTGTAAGTAGCCGTAGTGTAACGTCACGAGATTTGACACTAGGGTAGGCAGTACTTCGGACATACGGAAGGTGTGAAGGGCTAATGACTAGGAGGTGCCGCCTAGTGGAGGTTAAAATTAATAGTCTCCACCTTTCTCGTGAAGGAAAAATTGGTCAGTATAACTAATGACCCATCTTCACTTTTGAGCATTGTCCGCAACGATCATTTTGGTCGTCCCTTGCGCATAATCACTGCTGCAGGAAAATTACCCATCAATCAATCAACCACTTCATTCATCTAGTGTGTTATTAGTGGATAGGACATTGGTTTGCAATGGCAATTGTCAAGCTTGACATTTCCACTAAATCCTAGCTTTTGCCTTCTTTGGAAACTGTGCTAGAGGTAGGAAATCGACGTTGGATGCTGCATATGTCCATTGCTAGTTATGAGGATGATTTGAAAGTAGTCAATTAAGACGGATTGGAGTCTAAGATAGTTTCATCAAAAAGTTTCGCTCAAACCCATCTTTGTCATTTGGTAGTTTTACTTCATTGCTGCGAAGCCAAACCTAGTCGTGTTCCATGTGTCTAATGGGCAGGCGGAGGAAGTATTGCGTGTTCACTCACTTGACATCGCACAGGTAATGTAGACAGCTCCGGGGTAAACTTTTAGATAGCTCGCGGTTAATGTCACGTTAAGAGCTAGCAAACAAAAATGTTAATCGTTTAAGTTTTCCTTTTGGATAGGTCGAAGTAGTAACGCGGGTGGAGACAACACACTGACAAGGCACAGAAAGGCTGAAAGGCTACTGACATGGCTCGGTTGATTTGATGTAAGCGCAAAGACGAAGCCTCAACCAACTCACACAACTTACGCAAAGATTTGCAAGGCTAGGCACAGCATTACAAAGTTGATGCAAAGGAAAGTTAATTTAACGAGGCTTTAAATTCCACTGAAAAAGGAGAGGCAAATGAAACAGTGCTTTATAAATCACTTTAAACGATTCATTATATCAGTATTTCCCCAATGGGACCCAATGAGCTTTACTCTTGCAGATGACTCTTAACAATGCTAGTTTAAGCTTATCCCTTTTGGCGATTAAATCCATTGGGTGGTGATACAAAAAAAGCCATTAACAAAGGAGTTCCAAAAAAGTCGCTAATCAGAGAACTACAATTGTAAAGTGGTCGCCATGACATGAAACAGTGAGGATACTTTTGACACGATTTTCGCAAAATACCTTCACATGGCAGTAGCGCTTTAACCGAAGAAAAGTAACAAACTCCAATTTATGCTGTATCGCAACTATAGGTGAAATTTGCGAGGAGTTTTGTGCATGTTCTTGCGTCAAAGTGGCAAGTCAACTTTCAACGTTTTGTCATAACTTACACTTGCATTC